AAGTACGGACATGGACGAAGAAGGTTAGATAGAAACATTCTTCATGAGAGCTAGAAGAGAAAGTTAGAGAAAAGAAAGAGAAATAGGAAGGAAATCAAAAGGAATTCAATTATTGGAAGCTTAATGTACTTGATGAACTGCACTCGCCCAGATATAGCTTATGTAGTAAGTAAATTAAGTAGATATACGAGTAATCCGGGAGTAGATCATTGGAAAGCAATGATAAGGGTTCTTAGATATCTCCGATTTACTCGTAACATTGGGCTTAATTATACTAGATATCCATCAGTACTTAAAGGATACTGTGATGCAAATTGGATATCGGATACTAAAGACTCGAAGTCTACCAGTGGGTAAGTCTTTACTCTTGGTAGTGCGGCTGTATCTTGGAAATCTTCCAAACAGACTTGTATTGCTAGGTCTACTATGGAATCTGAATTCATAGTTTTAGATAAAGTAGGGGAAGAGGCAGAATGGCTTCGCCACTTCCTTGAAGATATTCCAATATGGCCAAAATCGGTGCCTGCTATATGCATACATTGTGATAGTCAATCAGCAATTGGTAGAGCACAGAGTCATATGTATAACGGTAAGTCACGACACATTCGTCGTCGACATAACATCGTAAGACAACTACTCTCTAATGGAATTATTTTCATAGAATATGTTAAGTCTAAAGATAACATAGCAGATCCACTAACCAAAGGGTTAGCAAGAGAGTTAGTTAAGAATTCATCGAGGGGAATGGGACTAAAGCTTATTAAATAAGAGTTACCATAACGGCAACCCAACCTAGTTGACTGGAGATCCCAAGATCTAGGTTCAAAGGGACAATCGAGTTATGAATAACTCAGAAGGATCACTGGGGAGTCTAACTCCTACCCATTTCTTTGATGAAATAGTGATGTCTGCAGCGTTAAAGGTTAAGTAAAATTTTAATGATTCTTATATCTAGATAAACCTAGTGGAGTATGGCAGGATACTCTTCATAAGAATCACCTATGCGAGTGTGAACTGGGCCGGTTCTATAAGATTTGTTCAGGGCTACAAGTCTTTAGAGCACTCATGAAAGACCAGGTTGTTCAGGGCCAAAATGAACAAAATAATGAGAACTAAACTGTGTCTGGGAATATGCTGTGTGAGTTCTATTGTCTTGGTTTACACAAACGGCTGAACAGTTCAAGACATCATGTTCACTGGTTAGCTAGTAAATCCAAAAGTGTCTCACAAGGGAAGGTTCAAAGCCAAAAGCTACCTATCCTTTGCAGAATATTTCCAATTTCTGTACTTTCTGTAATAGATCATGTTGTTGCATTTTCTCTCCGTCAAATTCCATTCATGTGGGGGATTGTTGGAAAAATGGTTTAATATAGGCATATTGTTTGAGCCCAATTTGAGTGGGCCCCAAACGTATTTTGAGATGGGTCCGAAGAGGTGAAGTGTTCCTTGCCACGTGGCAAGTCACACGGTGAAGACGGTTCGTCAAAACCATTTATGAGTGAATGGAAAGTTGACGTCGTTTTTGGGTCTAACATTAATTTTTTAGATAAAATTCTTTTCAATTTTTTCAATAAAAAAAAAATTAGTGTGAGAATTTAATTTAATTCTAAATTGTATTTTGGGTTCCTAAGTGGTTTCCTAAAGTTTGTAACTCTTCCTTTATTTATTAAACTATTTCAATGATTTAATATATAGATATATATAAATATTTGAAATAGTTTACATAATAAAGTACCTTAAGATTCTTTGACTTGGTTAAGTTTCTTTGACTTAGTCAACGAACGGATCTTTTTTCAAAATTGTGTGGTATAGCTGTTCCAAAAGATGCAAACGGACAGATTTGGTTTTTATAAACTGCAATGAATCTATTTGACATTTCAAAAAAAGTATCTGTTACACTTTTTGCACCTGTTCAGCCTACCAGCACCTTTTCGGGGCTGTGTAAATTTTACCTATAAATACTGCCTTGATTCCAGCAGTCTTTACACCGGAAATTCAGTTTGAAACTGTCTCATTTTGTTGTCTAAATTTTTTTTATTTGCATTATTTCTTCATATTAGTTTTAGAGATAATATTAAGAGAGTACAGAACACTAGGTTTGGTTCGCCGTACAATTTTGTTTGGTGTGCTACAACAATTTTGTGAAGATCATTGTATCTTGGGAGATAGACGCCACTCAACCGTAAGCACCGTAACGGGGCGAATCTGTCTTAAGGACAGAGTGTCACACACTTGACTTGGTTTTAATTTTAATTCGGTTCGATGAATAAATCCGGTATGTTATTTATTTATTTTGTTTGAATTTATTTCAAGTTATTTTATTTACACAGAAGATTGTTCCAACACCATGTTCTCTCTTTCTTTGAGGAACTGGTCTTATTTTAGAGTTCTAAAGTTATCAGCTTCATTGTCAGCATAAAACAAAAGGAAGTGGTTTTTGCTTACCTACAATGTGTCTTTAGTTATGGACACATGCACATTTTAAAACAATTTCAAAACATCATCAATATTGCAGGATCAAAGTTTCTCAAATATATGTATCAATGAAGTATAGATGCAAGTATGAGTGCTGGTACAGACACGTTATGGTATCCCAATAAGGCAAAACTTTAAAAAAATAATAGTAATAAGATACGGGTAGTACCGGGTACATTCATAAATAAATAAATAATAAAACTTGAGAACCCTAAAACATGATCCCTAAGGCTGTTCTTGGTTGGAAGATTTGATAAGGGAAATAGAAAGAAAGCATAAAGAATTGATACGATTCGAATTCCAAGCTATTTTTTGTTGAGTTGGGAAATGGACAAAAAAAAAGAGCCAGAGTGAACCCAAAAGATAAAAAGTGGGATTGCATATTTCTCTCACTTTCTTTTCCCCTATGTTTGGTTGATTCAGATGTTTTGGCTTTTGTAGATTTTGGGAAGGATTTGATATCTTAGCATTTTTTGCCCCTTACGCTGTGTTTGGTTGGGGAATTTAGGAAATAATTTGGAAAGGAAAAGAAAAAAGATGTTTGAAACTAGGTAAAATATAAGTATATTTTATTCACATTTCACCTACCTTTTTCTTTTTCCTTTTCATTTTCAAATCCCTTCCCAAATCTCCCAACCAAACACAAAGTTAGGGTCTGAATTTTTGTATTTTTTACATCATCAGGATGCTTTTCTAATAAATTTGCTTATTTATCCCCCCCCCCCAAAAAAAAAAAAAAAAAAAGAAGATAAAAAGTGGGATTACATTTCTCTCTCACTTTCTTTTCCCCTATATTTTCCATTATAACCCAACTAAAAGTGGGATTACATTTCTTTTTCCCTTCCTATTTCTCTCATCAAATCCCCTAACCAAACACAGACGAAGTTTATCCACAATGATGTGGACTACTCCATGTTAGTTATTGATTGTTTTAAAAATCAACCACCTAAGACCTAACCCCCTACCACCTGAAGGGCAGTTTAGTAGTCATTTTTTAGGAATCTCTAGTATTTCTCTATAAAATAAATATATAAATTTATAGCAACAGATGTGCACACCTTCTAGTAAATATACATGAGTAATGATATATACAAACAAAAAATATTCATCCATAATGATGTGGCTCAATTTATAGTATATACCATTTAATTTAAAACAAAATACCCATAAAAATGAAATTTATTTACCAAAATGGCATGTCATTCTTGTTATGATTTTTGTATGAATTTTATATATGAAAAATGTTTTGCAGTATATACACACACACAAGTATGAGTACAATAAAATACAATGCAGCAAGAATCCTATAAGCTTTACCAACAATATTTGGTAACAAATCAACAATCAAGTCTTTCAACATTCTAAACAAAAGCAATAACAAATTGTGTCTTCAACCGAACAAGAATTCTATAAGCTTTACCAAGAATTGAAATTAACTAAAAATTAACAATTAAAATGTCATAGCCTTACCTAAGTTTAAGGGCAAAGAACTGAGAAAACTTGCAGAAAATCTCCAGAAAGTGAAACTACTGAGCTTCAATCTGCTGCAATCCAAAAAAGTAGGCTTCGGAGGTGTAACTTTACAAATCTGACATGCCACAAAGAGTTCAACTTGCTTGTTTTCATTTTTCAGAAAATACTTTTCAGAAAATTCTACTTTCTTATTTTTCGTGTTTTTTTTGTTTTTACTGAATTTTTTTAATATTTTAAGTAATTTTTTTACTTTTTAGACACGCCTAATATAAACACACCTAAAAAGTAAAAAAAATTGTAAAAAAAATCTTTTAAAAATTCACTAAATACCAAAAATACAAAAAAAAAATACAAGAATTCAGTACATTTATTGTATTTTAATGTATTTATTAATTTTTTAAAATATTTGTTCACAAAATTTTTACTTTTTAAATACATCTAACTAAGGTGCATCTAAAAAAGTAAAAAAAATGTTTAAAATTTAAAAAATATTCACTAAAAACAAAAGAATACGAAAATAAAAAAACTCAGTTTTCAAAAAACTTAATCCAAAAAACTCAAACCAAACACACTGATTGGGATTTCTGAATTGAGTGCGAGAGAGCAAAACTGAGGAACTAGGGTTTTCCCAAATTGAGAGTACTTGAAACCGTTCGTCAAGTTCATACTGTTGTTGGTATATTGAATTGGGAATGAATTTGTGAAAGAAGGAAAAGTCTGTAAAATTTTGATTCTACTTCACCCCAAATTTTTTTTTTTTAAATACTTGTAGTGCAATAAAGCCTATTATGGGAAGATAGTGAACAGTGGCTTTTTGGTTTTTAATCAAGCTTTTGGTTTTTTAGACAAATGATTTGAAAAATCGGTAAAAAGTTTACTTTTGACTTTTTTTATTAATATTTGTTTATGATGTTAAATTACAATAAAATGATTAAATTATCCCCATTCAATTTAAAATATTTACAACTTCATCCGTGTAACATATTTTGACCTATGAGGGATAGAATTGTAATTTCACCCATGGTTGAAAATCAACTTCTCAAATAAAAAAAATACAAAAAAATCCAAACTTTTAACTAGGGGTGTAATTTTGACCCATGGCTCGCGGCGGCCCGAGGTGGGTCTGACCTGTTAAAGCCCGTTAAGGCCCGAGCCCAATCCCAGCCCAAGGTCTTGGGCCATCGTTTTGAAGCCTGACCTGGCCCATGGGCCCAGCCGGCGTGGCCCGGCCCAGCCCACCCGAGGCCCAGTGTTATTTTTAATGGAAAATAATAAAATTTTGGTGGAAAAAATTTAAAAAAATTAAAAAATTGTTTAGGCCTGCCCATGCCCAAGCCCAGGGACCCAACCCACTGGCCCGACCAAAACCTGAATACCCCTGGGCCTAGTCTTCTGGCTCGTGGCCTGGCCCGACCCAATTTTTGGCAGGAGCCCACAAGGCCCGACATGGGCCGGGCCAAAATTACACCCCTACTTTTAACTTTTACTACAAACCTAAAAAAAGTGACTAAAAACCAAATTCTCAAAACACCCCTACGTAATGCACAAGCATACATCCAAGTGACTGGGTTTCACATCATTGCAATTTATATCCGCCTGAAACAATTTTTAAAAATAATTTTTTAAGAAGAGTTTATAAAATTTAAATACTTATTTGGTGGTATGTTTTGATAATAGTTTTGAAATTTAAAATATTTTTTTTAATTTTATTTTATAGTTTAATAGATGTATGTGAGAGAAAAATAATTGATTGATATATAAGATGTGAGAAAAAGAGAGGGGAGAGAGAAAAAATGATTGATTGATGTGTAAATAAAAGTGATTTTGAATTTTTTTTTTCAAAAAATTTTAACCAAACAAATTTTTGGGATTTTTTTCAAATTTGTATTTCTAGATACAAACCAAACAAGGCATCATGTTCAATTTTTTAATACTAACATATATTTTGTATTGATTTTAGGGGTTATTACATTTTAGTGGATGTATTAAAAAAAATATAAATTGATGAAAATGTTTAAATTTTTAATTATTAATATTTCAAAAAATTTCTCATTATTTCTCATTATTAATATTTTCCCTTGATTTTAATGTACATATATGATCATAAGTGAAGTTTTTTTTTTTTTAGATTGGATAACCAAAATCAATTACAAAGCTTCTTGAAGAGTTAACGACAAAAGAGACAGAGGAACATCTTTCATTCGTACTAAATAACTCATTTATTCAACATGTCATTCGAGCCAATCCATGAGTCATCTTATTATCAAGTCGAGCCGTATGTAAAATATGAAAACATTGGAACTGTCGACCCTTCTCAAAAGCACCTTGCAGAATGTGACCAAAAGGAAAGAGAAAATACGTACCATCACAGCTAACATTCACAACAGTGAGTGAATCACCCTCGACATGAATGTCATTTCGAATGATTCTAAATTATATTGGGAAAATAAAAAATAATAATCGAGGGTTTCACTCTAATAATAAAATCAAATCTTCATTTTAGAGGAATTTGGTCAAAATTCCTTCATAACAAAACTTTCATGTATTAATAATAAACACAAATCTTTTTTCTTAAAAAGACCAACACACATCACTATTATGAAAATATCTTTATTGGATAAATTTATATTTCAAACTTTAAAATAATAAAACTTTTGATATATATGTCACTTTTTAATAATAAAAAAATTAATCTTAAAAAGAATAGTAAAATTTTACTGTTGAAACTAGCGTCAACAGTAAAATTTTACTTAATTTCATAGTAAACCTTACTGTAAAATTTTAGTATTTAAATAGTGAAATATCATTACCATTACTAAACACTATAATCATTATAACTGTTACCGCCACAAGTAATACAAGATTGATTTATATAGGAAATGATTGAACGAAGGAAAAAAATGATTGAGTAAAGGAAATGGATGAATAAACAAAGAATAGACATATTGACAGGGATATTGTCGATAATAATAATGTGAAAAGTTGTCACGACCCCAAACCTGCCCCTATAGATTTAGCATCGTAATCGCCCGATAATCCTAAGATTATCGAAGGCCTCTGAAACAGATTAGCAATTTAAGGAGTTAGCAGAAGCAAATATTAAGAATATAATAGTCCATAGAGTTGTGCAGGCTTATATGAGACAGAAAATTTTAAACTTTATATATATATATATTATGATGTCATCTTTACATCAGTTCAAAAACAGATAAGTAAAAAGGAGACTTAACACTCCATACAGAATACCCATAAACTTGTCCAAACAGAAGAAAAGAAAATAAAACAAAACTATTCACTTAACATAACATTGAACACAAAGACTTTTGAAAACCTCCATGTGAGGCGCATTGATTAGCTTGACAAAAATAGATCCAGACTGGAAGTCTCAAGCCTGGTCACGCACCTGGTCACCTACATACATAATATAAATAATGAACTGGAGCCCAATAAATAGCAACAGAGTAAAGGATTTATGAATGATGTCCATAACAGATTTAGAAATCATAATTCAAATAAGAAACAGGTTCATATACTTATTTAGACTTGTAACAGTCATATATGGTACATCCATTAGCGCTAATAGATTGAATTGGTCATAAAGACCCATATACATAGCAGATAGTCATTAAGACCCATATTCACATGAAGTAGTCATAAAGACCCACTTGCTGATCATATAATTGATTATGCATAATCAGTTCCATGAATAGAACCCACTTGATACCCTGGTACCAAGTAACATATAATAGATATACATGATGCTAAGGATGCCACGAATACATTTCAGAAATTGGACAATCATTCGTTATTCACAAAATAGCATTTCAGAAAACAGATCATATCATATCAGTCAAAAAATACTTATAGTCAAACATAGCTTTACAGAGTTGTTACTCACAGATAGCTCCAGAAGCAGAACAAACAATGTAGACAGATCGGTCGGATAATAGCTCGTGACCTACACATAAACACATGACAAATACATATTGAAGCATACACTCTGAATAGACTTAACTTATTACATTTCTTTCTTAGTGTGCTTCTAATTCATATCCTTATTATTGTAGTCTAAACCATGGCTTAAAAATGCCTAAGATGGAATGAGGATACAATTATGCACTTTGAAATACTTAGCAAAATTCAAAAAACAGGACAGTTCATTCGAGCGAAGCTTTGGTTGCTCGAGCGATTTGCAAAGTCTGCAAAAGTACCAGATGCTCTCTTTTTATGCTCGAGCTAACTTGTGGTTGCTCGAGCCATGTACCTTGCAAAGGTGAGTTCGCTCGAGCGAAACTTTGGTTGCACGAGCCAACTGCTTCGACTGCAAAAGTACTTGGAGCATGCAAAGCGCGCTTGAGCGATGATGCGAAATTATGGAAATTCTAGAATTCTGTTATGAGTTCAAAACATGAGTTTAAAGCTTCAAACCTGTTCTTTTGGGCCACATTTGAAGAAAACATTTAGACACTTGAACAAAAACATGGAATGGAAATTAATTCATGGAATCAAGGCCCAAAAGCATGCCAATCATTCAAATTTACACTTGAAACTCCATTTGCATAACATGCATGTAATGAATGGAAGTTCTTTCTTTTCAAAACTTAAATACATAAAGTGATAAGTATAAAACCATCTTAACCTCTCAACCTTAAACACAAATAACACCATGCATGTGAGAATTCTTAGAGAACAACCTCAAAATGCCATGAAATACGCATGCATGCATGTATGAGCTTTAATTCTTCAATCTTAGCTTGATTCTTGACTTAATCTTTCTTTCCTTCTTGAATTCCTACACTAATGACGTGGATGCAAAGTTTGAAGAGCATGATTCTTATCTAGAGTTCTCAATTTCCTTTGAATCCTAGCAATTCTTGAACAATTCTCCCTTTTCCCTTCTTTGAGCTCAAATTCTCTCATTCTTTCTCACTCTCTCTACTTTTTTGTCTTCAAAAATAATGACAATGAGAAGTTTAGAAACTCATATTAGCCTTAGCTTAGGAAAATTAATTATGATTAGAGCTAAGTTTATTCAACTTAATAATTAATTTATTCTAATTATTTGATTCTAAATTGAATTCTAATTAAACTTACCATAGGGTTCTAAAAATTCCAATTAACACATAAACATA